TTGCTTTTGAGTTTCGACAGTTTGGCTGGACAATTTTCTTGAATGGACAAAACTGGTCTGTTTGAGACAAACGGTAGTGTTGAAGCCAAGTTTGTAGTTTTGCCCATCGTATGCAAGTTTTCAAGTTTCAGTACACTTACGAAGCATAACATACCTAGCCAGAACCGATTCTTCTATGGACCGTTTGCTATCCAACGGTCCTTCCTATTCCAGCCTTATCGAGGTCGCGGTAAGCAGCCTGACCATGATATGAGTTAGCGCTCTAGCCGTGCCCCCAAGCCAACTACTCATAGGAAATGTCTTGGTTCAGGAAATTCGAATTTGCCCACCTTTTTTTAAACAAAAATGCATATCTGGAGGCATTAAAAGTTTGTAAATGATTAAAAGGAATAATAATGCTATTTGTACAACTATGGATGACAACCTTATTTACAATTGGCGTGTCAGCAAAAAACTGTTGTCTGAAAAACAACTTTTTGTTAAAACTGTCCAATGACATAATGTCACGTGACTCACGTGACATTCCGTAAATAAGGTTTTCATCCAGATTGTACACCAAACACTATTCACGTTCTGGAATGACGGAAATCATATTAATTCACAAATTTAATGTCATAGGACAGACAATAAAGATGTAGCCAATTTGGGCAGTAAACTTTAGGGTGTAAATAATTGTAACCTGGGAATGGTGAAAATGCAAATTAAAACATTGCCTCATTCATATAAATAGAGGTCTCATTTTATTTTGTGAATCACACGGAAAATTAATTAATTCTTTATATGTTCACTGTAGGGTTTTCAAACTTGGGTATCAAGGCACGATAATGGAGGAAATATTTAAATGTATTCTAAAATCCAATCTTTATTTCAGAAGTTGCAGATAAATGTAAATATTCTTAAAACGGTAGAAATATCAGATTTTGTATGTTCTCAAGAATTTGGGTATCTTCATAAACAGTTCTTTCGAGTTTTGCACATGGAGCAGAATTTGATACGACATCTCTGCATTCACAAAAATTATGATTGTTTAAAAATTGAAACAATCGTCTTCAGTAATTCTTGCAATGATATCAAACGTATGAATGCTAAAAGAACATTCATTTTATGCCCAAAATCTCGCTTCGTGTTATGAAATAAGACCCAATTTCGATCCCGATCAAAATATAATATACACGAAATTACACAAGACCAAAACTTTTTGTACTAACTCATACATTAATATGACGTGCTTCTTCGATATTAAAATTATTTATTTTTCTTTGTGTAATTACTTTAGTTACTAATAGCATTCTATCCAGAAATTAAAATTTTAAAAATTTTCAATATTCAAGATTTATAATTATCTCAAAAATCATTTAAAAATGTTAGATGCATTAAGGGAAAATTTAGTACAATTTACTCCGATTTTTTCATTGAAAAGTAGTACTAGTGTTGGGTTGCTTGGACAATAGGCTCAATATTTTGGGCTCGATGGTGAAAGGCCCAAATATAACTTCACTCCAGGATGATGACACGTGGATTTTTACTAGCTGTTGGATTGAAAGAAGACGAAGAGATCCGTAGTAGCTGTTAAAAACATTTTTTTATTGATTAGTACTATTTAGCATTACTGATATTTAATACTAGTTTAGATGACGCACCAGCGATATTACATGATGATTTCAATTAAACAACTTACATAATTTTATTTTTAATTGAACATATCATATAATGTTACATAAACGTGTGCTCTAACACCACTGGTACTAAATATTATTATTCTATTTTTATTTGGATTCAAGAGGCGTTTCCTTTCTTTCTTTACTTTAATTCTCGTGTTTTCATCTTTTTTTCCATGAAAAATATGTGTGGTGCAATTACACTTCAAAACTAATAAAGACTATTTAGAGTGTGTTTGAGACACATTCTTTTGAAATAAATGTATTATTGAATGGTAGATTGATGGAGAATGTGTGGTTAAAAATAAAGAAAAAATTATTGANAAGTGCTTGTTTGGTAGGAATTTTTGGGGGAATAATTGATTTTTAAATAGTGATATGATGGGAAATGTGTGGTTGAAAGAGAAGAAAAAGTTATTGATGTGATGAAAAATATTATTTTATTGAAGAATGTGTCGTTGAAAATAGTAGAAGAATGAGAATAAAAAAAATAATGTGTACCAAATAAAGTTTTTTATTTACAAACATATTTTGATTAAGATACTTCTTTAATGTTAAGTATAAAAAAAGGTTACTTATTCAAAAAGTATCCAACTCTAATACATAAATACTTATTTTTCAATTTTATCCATAAAATTATATTTTTATTATTCACTTTTATTGGATTCTTTTAAATAAATTTATATGAAAAATGCTGAAAGTACAGGGAAATTTTGACAGAAAATGTACAGAATTTTGAATTTTTCAGTCACATGGTGCGGGCTCCATGTATAAAATATTGGGAAAAAAAATTCTGCTCCCGCCATGAATTGTGAGTATTCTGTAGAATTCCTGTACCTATAGCTTGGTTCAATTTATATAAGCAACTAATGGCTATTTATTGGTCAAAAATTTAAAAACAATTACTTATTTGGTAAAATATCTTATTATATATTCACCGTTAGTCCAAACGTAGTCTTATTTTTTGCAGAAACGTGCATCGTCAAGGGGCAAGGCTTGCCTTGTCCGAGTGATACTATGCTGATTGTGGAAAACCCCAATTTGCTAAGTTAATGAAATGGAGAAGCTAAATAAAGTATGGAGAGAGAGAGAAAGGGAGAGAGAGCCGGTCTAGAAAGGAAAGGAGGAGTGGAGCGAGGATTTGGGCGATAAATGAGAAGGTGAGAGAGGTGTAGCATTCAAATAGCTTGCCTTAGATTTAGATTTGAATTTGAATTTCGAAATGTGAATTTTATTTCCTTAATTTTTGTTCCCATGTATAGTTGATCCGACAAAATTCTTAACAAATGGGGTTGAGAAAAATCCGATGCCCTCAGATACTCTCCCCTATTTTCTCTATCTTAATTGCTCTTTTTTCTTTCTCTCTCTCGTCTATATGTATATATAATTGTGTGAGGATATGTACAGCAATTGTGGGCTGTTCTTGTTTCTATTTAAAGAGGCTTATTTTTTGTGTTATAATTTCTCTTAGATTTTCATTCGGATCTTTCTTGGACCCAGATTGTGTTTTGAGAATTTGGGTATCTTAGAAATATGGTGTGGATTTGGTGAATGGCTTGCTCTATATAATTGGCATTTGCGTTTCTCTTTAAATTCCAAGATTTCTTGTTAATTTTGATGCCTGAGAGGGATAATGACACAGGAAGAAAATATCCTAAGGTGCAATTTTAATACTGGTGGGGACGGTTGTGGCAACCTCGTCGATGGTGGTGGTGAAGGAGTGGATGATGGTGGTGGGAGTAGATCAAAAAAGACCAAGCAAAAAAAAGTCCCACAGAGAGGATTAGGAGTTGCCCAGCTTGAGAAAATTAGGTTGGAGGAACAACAGAAAAAGGAGGCAGCTGTACAAGCAGCCAATATTTTGGCAAATAATGCAATTGGTTCACATAATGATTCTACTGCATGTTTAGCTATTCCATGTCCCAGTTTTAGGGCAAATCTTTGCCCTTCAAATTCAATCCCCTTGCCACCACTATCACCAACTGATCTACCCTCACTGAATTTCTTGCATAGGCCTGTCCAATCGAACAAAAATGTCAATGTTCTACACCCAAATTCTGTTCAATTGTCCAAACCCTTGAATATAGGTGGAAATGAAATAGGTTTGCCAGCAACTTCGGGTCCTGGGCAGGGCAATTGGCCTAGATTGTGGAATGGTGAGCAGAATCTTGAAGGGGAAAAGCAAATGTTAGATCATCGTAGATTTGCAATTTGGCCTCATATAAATTTTCCGTATGAATCAAATGCCCTGGTTTTGCCTCTTCCACAAAGATCACATCAATTTCATCATCCTTCTTCTTCATCAATGGTTAGCAAAATAGATATATATTGCAGTATTCAATATAATGAGTTCAGGTGTACTTTTTTATTTTTGTATTGATGAAAAAAAAATCCGCATGTGGCAATTGCAGGTGAATGTCTCTTCAGGGACTTCATCATCATCTGTACTGAAGTTTCAGATGGAGCCCCCTTCAAACCAAAGTGTTCGTGATAACAATTATGCACCCTTGTCACCAAAGGAAGAGAAGGTAGTCCTATTTTTCTTGTTTTCTTTTATAAACAAGAAGACTATTTTGTTTCATGGACTGAAATCTATCAGAAATACTAAATTTCCATCAGATGGTTTCATGTGATAAATTGTAGGATAGTTTGTTCTGATTTGTCCGTTAGAAGAAAGTTTTGTTGTAATTGGAGTGTGAAACCTGGACATTTTAGGAAATGGTCGTTAACTGACTTATTTTATGTTATGTTTCTTTAATCATTATTGTAGTGACTCCTCTTTCAAAAATCCTGCAAAGCTCTGACTTTAAATGGTGGATTTTTATGAACTTCAGTTTTCCTTCATTTCTATAATAAAATTGAGTACAAGGTCTGTCAATTTTCAGTAGCAATATCTAATTAGGTTTTGATGCAATGTAGATGAGTGGCATGAAAAGGTCATATCCCTTCTCTCTAGCAAGTCCAACAGCCGCTTCTTGTCAGTGCAAATATCAACCTACGCATGGTACTTCAAGATCCCGATCAGACGAATCGGCTTCGTGTAGCAATGGATGCACAAATCATTTCGAACCAAGCAATATATGTATCAGGTTCATTTACTATTGACACATTGTTCCTTCCTCGTTATCAAGAAAAAATCCGTACTGCTTCTAAAATGTATGCTGACAATTTCTTGAACCGCTTCTCCAGAGAAGACCCTCCAAACATAAGCCTGCCTGAGCAAAGTGCTAGTGGTGTAATCAGAGAAAACAAAGAACTGAATGGAGATTTTCTCACATTGGCTCCTCCTGCTCCCACTACCCAGCCTTTGAACTTTAAGCATAAGCATCCTCTGGTATATTCAGGATATCAGGAGCAGGAATTATTTGATTTTTGGTGTCCGTCCAGTCAGGTGTGCAACAAAAACTATTTACATTTTATGTGTCTTTTAATTATATTTATTGTTTTGTTTTTGGTTAGACAGTTTTGTCTGATGGTCTCTGCTTTAATTTTTCTGTACTGTTCCATTGCTATAGGAATTCACCAAAGACGCGATCCAAAGGTCAGGACCAAGTGGATCTATAGAACAACCTCCTTTTAGCTTCTTCCCAACTAAGGTGACAATTGACCAAGCAACGACAACCCATGTCAGGGATGGCAATGGTAAAATAGGGGAACCAATTGATCTCAGCCTGAAATTATAGACATTTGCTTCGGTAATTTCATTGGACCAAACACGCACTTCCAGAAAGAGCTTGTCAACTTTGTCGTGGTTTCTACTTGTGGTTGCTTTCTTACATGGTTGGTTCCTTCCCAATTTCCAGCGACTGCTATTGATATCTAGTTTTGTGCGAATTGTGGATGTTTATATTTAAGTTGGATCCTCATTGGACGAAATGTTGTGCAAGTGGCAAAGTGATGGCTGGAGGAGAGAAAATACTGTTAGTTTTCAGCCTCTGATTTCTATGTAAAAGCTACTTTGCTGGTTGCTCTACCAATATTCGCGTATTTGTTGGTTTCATTTCCATGGTTGGTGGACAAGTCCAGCGCCCTCTGTCAGCACCAAACTTTAGCATGTGAGAGATTGTATGGAGCTGATGATGCTTTTGTTTTTGTGTTTTTTCTTCTCATGGGACCTTTCATTTAGACTTCGTAATGTAGTAAAGCTTGTGAAAATTACCGAAGACAATGAATTTGTAATGCTGAGACCTCAAGAGTCCCTGTCCTGATATGGAGAGCCTCAAGTTCTGTTTGTAACTGGTAGAGACAATGAAGTTTTCCTCGTTTTTGTTCACGAGGGAGAGATAGAACGGAGTTTATCACAAAGAATTCCTTTCCCAATATGAAGCGTTTGTTTTCTATCTCATCAAGCTTTGCACTTGAATCTTTCCTTGTAATATGTATTTTCCTGCATAATCATGAAATTCATGTACTAAGAATTTAGGTGTGGATTGTGACATGTTGGCTGTTCGCCTCGTCTTTTTGACATTTTGAGGAATATCTGGTAGAAATATTTTTGCTTCATTTTGAAGTACTTCTATCCTACTAAGGTGAAGATGAGACATAAATCTGTGAACTCTTTTCTGAAAACCATGATAATAGCAAACTTTCAAGACCTGAATCAGTTTTCAAACTTTGTGAAATTGTTGGTGTTGGTTGTCATTTTCATTGGCAGAGGTCGTCAAGAGAAATATAAAGAAATTATCAAATTTGAGGTTAAAAAATTCGTTGTGTTATAATATCCTTATTTATTAGAAAGTACGTATCAAAGGTCTATTTGTCATCGTTTTTGCTTTGAAGAGCTTCTTAAAAAAAGGTACTTTAAACTGGCTTTTATTGAAAAGTTAAAAAATGGACTCTCAATCTTTTACAAGGTAAATACATATATAAGAGCGTTTACAATGTTTGAAAATATGCTTAGATAAGCGAAATAGACAATCAATGTAATTTAATGGGGACTGTGTCAATGTCAAGTTGACAAAAGAGAAAATAAAAGTAGTCGAGAACTTTGTTAGATATATTGACTCAACAATATTTACAATTCTTATACAGATATATTTTTTTTTATGGAATTTTGATATGGTTTTGTTTTATTTTAAGAAAATGAAAGGCATCTGGACATCGTTACTAAACTCTATGGATCGGATTGTAGAACAATTTTAGATTTGAATATCTATTCATGAAATCAGTAAAACGTAGATCTAAAGTCTTTTGACTTGCAATAATGCATGATGAACTAATCACTCAAAAACTTAATGTCTGGTTCTCAAAAATCGCCAAACCATTCATTTTTGAAACCATCAAGATCGACGTAAAACCCAAACGCCAAAAATAAAAATTAAAATTAAAAATTAAAAAAAAAAGGCAAAAGATGCAACATTTCCTAATTTTCTTGTCAACGATTAAATACTAAACCACATCCTAAGTAAAGTAGCAATACTATAAACTCAAGTCATCTTAACTCTCCACGTGTCCTTTTCATAGATTCCAATCATGCAAGGAAAATTATCAGAGTGGTCCCCACTACAGCATTAGATCAAGAAAGAGGGGACATCACGTGATCTTGCACATGTAATAATCAGAATGCACCACACCATAGCCTATCACTGTTCGGAATGATTTATTTCTGGTGTTTGTGCACCAACAATGGCTTCTTCGCCCATGTTCTTCTTCTTCATGTTCTGTTCTCCATATATTTGTCTCAATCTCTCAATCTCCTTCTTCAATGCTTCTTGGTGGGCTGTTTATTGGGTTATATTCAAAAAATGTTAGCTTATTAACAAAATTAAGAGACATAATTTTCTTAATGCTTAAGCCGAGGATAATCATAAACTCTTAGCATGCTGGATACGACAAGATAAACGGGCGAAATGTTGTGCTTTGTCCTAGCTAGTCTATTATTGTTTAGCATCCTCGGTCAATCCAAAACGACATGTTTACTACATTGAATTGAACAATTTAAGTCTCACATAAAGTAGAGGTCTTGAAATCAAATTTTGGGAGATGCGATTTCTCGTGAGAGGTAAAACGGATAGACCCTATCAAAACAAACAGTACATATGATATAACAGCTTTGACAGAGAGATTAAGTCGTTACATGATTGGGTCGAAATCTATAGTCGTATGTTTAGCCTACCAAATTTGACATGACATGGGACAAGACGTGTGAGATGCAGTAATTTGCTATGCATTATGTTAAGGATGGCGGAGATGAAGGGTACGTCTAAAATTGAAAACCTTACCATCTTTGAAAATTTTATCTTGAGCCAATGCTGCTATCCTCTGCTTAAGAGCACCGTTATCCACAGTCAGAAGCAGCCTTTGATGGTCTAAAAATGCAACCTTTGGTGACAATGCTGATACTTCATTCTTCATTTCAACATACAAAATAAATTGCAACTATTAGTGTGAAGTTTCAAGATCTAAATCACTTAATTTGTACATAAACGACATGTTTGACACGCAGACTGGATAGAACTATATTGTACAATTACAAGATATCTAGTCGAATCGAGTCGAGTCTAACAAATTGCAGAGTTTTCACGTCGAGTGGAACGTACCTGCAATGTTGTTACACTCCTTTCAAGCTCTAATATATATTGCAGTTTCCTCACTCTTGACCTTTGAGCTGATTTCCGGTTGGCTAAAATTCTGATAATTAATTACACAAAAAAATTAGTGAAAATCAAAATATTTATCTTTGAAATAAATCATTTCGTACATGGGTTTTCTATCTAATTAATCCTGTTTAGAAATTGTTGATGGATTCACCTTTTAATCCTTTTTGGGTCAATAATGGCGTCCCCGGAGCCATTATCCAAAGAACTGGAGGCCGTGGCAGGAGGCGGAGTTTCTGCTGATGGTTTGCCTACACTGTCCACCTCCCCAGGCTCATTTTTCTGCCGCACGCGGTGGCTCTCCAGTAGCGTTTTCTTATCATCATTGTCGCTATTTTGATCCGACGAATTGGAGGATGACCTAGTTGCAGAGCCTACCTTCATCGCGCCATTGTCGGAAAACATGTGCCGGATCTGCTCGTCATCCAATCTTTCAAACCCATTATTTTTGTTGCATGTTTCCATAAAGTTTTCATTTGGATTATGGTTTTGTTCCAAGATCGACGCCTCCACATAGGCAATGGGGTCACTTACCGTCCTCCGGTGGGAGTTCCGCCGTGTGGCTGAGAAATCGAAGAATTCGTCAACCCAAAAATTCTGTTGGCCTGAGGAGGATGGCAATGGCATTACCCAATTGTGTTTCATTAATGGAACTTTTGGTGGTAATTGCTCCATGATTAAAATTGAAAAGAAAAGAAAAAAAATATATAACTAACAACTAAAAAAAGACGTAATCTGTCAATCTTTTAGTGGAATATGAAGAGACATTGCTGAGAGATTTAAGTAATGAGAGGTATATTATATATTATATTGGCTAATAATTCCTACCTTTAAGGCCTAAAGGTTTTGGAGGGAATGGATGACACTTGACACAAAAAGACTATCTCGTCTAAAAGTTTATCGGTTACTATCGAAGAAAGACCATATATTATATATGAGATTTAATAATTGACTAGTAAGATGAACCGTAACTTTTCCGACTCAAAATGACAAAACGAATCGAGGTCTATAGTTTATAGTCCTATACCAACCCAGGAAAGGAATGGACATGTTTCTGACTTTTTTTTTTCAATTTATCAATTTATTTTTTGCCTAAAATCTCGGGTTTAGGGTTCGACTGGTTTGAGGGGGAAGGGGACTATTGGGGGGTCACATGGGTGGTGGGATAGGACAGCTAGCAACAGCTATTTGGGAGGAGGGGAAAGTAGCAGTAGTTTAATAAGAGGGGAATCAGCCACCATGTGCGGATGTGACCCTCGGCGGGCCTCTTATTGTGTTATTCTGAAATGAAATCAGAGATTCAATTGAATAGGAGAGAGAAAGGATCATTCTTTTCAGAGTTTGCTCTCCTCTGCATAGATCCACATGAAAATAATAATAATAATAATAATAATAAAAGAATTGGACTCATCACATTTCTTGTACTAGTTAATTTTGAAACAAAAAAATGTGTACGCTAACCATCGTGAGTCACAAATTTAGAAATCTAGGATCGATATGATATGCCTCTTCGACCGATCAACTCACATTTCGAGCTATGTTAGGCCTGCACCGGATCATATAAGGGTACGACTCAATTTTGCACTGTTCAACCCACCTTCATATGTTTTGAGAGGAAGGGGTACGATGGAGCAAAATTTCTCCTCTTATTAGTAGTTTCAATTCCTAGTCTACTAGGCTTAAGATTGAATTTCGGAATTTAGCGTTTTGATTTCATTTCATTTAATAGTTTGAGGTTTTGAAACCTAATTGGATGATAGTGAAGAATTAAAGACGAGAAAGATGCAAAATGTTTGCACGTTGTAAATTGATAAGTATGTTTTACACGTTCATCTAGACTTTTAAATTTACGTAATATGATTATTTGGACGAATTTCTACCCATTGAATTGTCTATTGCATATATAACCTACAACAACCACTAAATCAACTACAACTACAGTGTCTCATGCAGAATTCATCAAACAAGTGAGAAAATCTGTACACTCTGCAAAAGACAGACACATGTTGACTGCTACTCTATGCCTGCAAGTATTTACATAAATATAATACATAACAAAAAAAAAAGGTATCTTTCAAGGATTATGAATAATTCGTAAAATGACAGAAGGTCCAATTTGTAAAACTGGTCTTCCAACACCAACAGCCATGGCCTCTTATATTTACATATCCTTCCCTTCAATTATCAATGCTGTGGATTTGCATATGGGACAAGTATTCGTCACGAGCAGCCACTTCTTTATGCAATCTCCATGGCATTCATGTCCACAATCCAAGATTCCAATATTTTCTTGATCCTCGTAATCAGTCTACATAAGAGTAAGATCGAGCAAACAAACATCAATAGTAACGGTTTGCTTCATGCAATATCCAATGGAAGCCGCTATCCATGGTACATGCGAACAGAGGGGCACTTTTCTGTTAGCATACAAAAATCGGGTTAAAAACAACGTTAATCACTCAACTTATTGCATTGTTTCACTTTGGCTGCCTGCTTTTATTTTTGTTCCAAGTTAGTCAAGGAACACACGCTTTTTGTTTCAGTTTAGGCACTCTGTCCACCTCCACCTGCTGAATTATGGAAATGTGAAATGCTGATGTGGCATGAAAAAATTGTTCGTGCCTTATTTTAATCATCGAATTTGGCAAAAAAGGCCTCTTGTTGAACGAGTAGTGCTTTCTTTCTTCCTTCTTTTTTTTTCTTTTTTTTTGTATTCATAAAAGTCCATTTCAAAGTAACTTGTCCGACAATACACGTTTTTGGCAAACTACATGACAAAAATAATGACTAACAATTTTTCCATACCGTGTCATCATTTTTCTTAACCACGACGCATTAGTGTTAATTCAACAGGGACAAAATGCATAAACTGTAAGAAATATGAAAATTCAGTGACTGCCTAAACAAAGTAAAGTTTGGGAGCCAAGTGAAACAACACTAAAGTTGGATGACTAAATGTGGTTTTCACCCAACAAAAATCTTTAAACCTCCTGCTTTCATTGTTTTACATAAGGTGGGCGACAGAGGGAGGGGGAGGATTTGCCAAGCAGAAGGGAATTGAAACATCAGCAATTTATGTCTCAAATAATATAGTTACACTAGTATCACTTATAATTTATCCCAAGATTAATTCCATATTTACTATCGAAAGATACCATATCATAAAATAAAATAATACCTGGCATATGACACATAAATTGACATTCTGATCCAAGAATGCTGGCTCTTCAATATTGGAACAAGTTGCAGAGGAAGTGAGAGTTCTTGTTCTCAAATTATTTTGAATGGCTTCTTCAGACAATCCAGTGCCAACAATTCCAATCTGTTTCCCCAATGCGAGAAGTTCCTGTCAAAGATCAGAAAAATTGTGTCACAGGTCACATAAGGGTTAAAAACATTGTTTGTCACTAAACTTAATGGTGTTATGTCACTTTGGTCATCACTTTTATTTATTTATTTATTTTTATTTTTTGGGGTCCAAATTCGTCAATGAACTTTTGTTTCAGCACCCGGATTTGCCGACTTGTATGACATCACTGATGATACAGCTTAAAAGATCCATTAATGCATTGCTTTCTTTGTTCAGATTGCCAACATGGTTATATTTTTACAAATCTGTGCTCCATAAATGCATTGATTTTTTAGAATAAACAATTTGCCAATTTAACAATAAAAATAATGCAGTAATGGACTTTTTATGCCATGTCATTGTTTCTATCATACAAGTCAGCGATTCCATTACTTTCAAAGACGTAGGTAGAAGGAATGAGTAAATTTTTCAACGATTAATTTGGAATAAAAAGAAAAAAAATGGTGATAAAAATTACACTATGAGTTTTGTGTCTACATTGTTTTTACCATCATATAACCATACTGTGAGATGAGTCCTTTATTTCAGGAGAACTCCATGAGCTCATAATCAGGTTAGTGTTCACTTATTTAAAAATAATAATATTATTCACCCAAGGAAAACTAACTAATTATCGCACTTATTTCACAAATACTTCCCAGAGAATGTTGCAAGAATCAGCACCGAAGAGTCCGGTGTTTGTCATTTACAATTCACAAATGGAGTAACAGAATGGCAATAATAATTCCATTGCAAAATGAACAAACACATTTGATGACACAACATTCAGCAAAAGAGCTAAAGATATAATGGATCCTTACATTGCAGAAGTTCTTGCCACAAACCATTAGCAAAAGCCTCATCCTCAGAAGTTATCACTAGCAAATTTGCATTTCTTAGCACACGAATTACTTGCAAACTCACAAAGCATGATTGGAATTATACGCCTGGTCAATTATTTCTAAAATCTAAAAGGGCAAGGCAATTCATTACAATCAACTTGTTGGAATTCATTTGTTTTCTTGACAAAATACCTGTAAGCCATAGGTTAAGCTTCCTTACACCCTAGATCCTGGCCCCTCCAAAATGAGGTACAGTAAAATAGATCTATTGCATTCAGAAGATGAACTCTCAATTTCTAGACGGTCCTCCAAACCAGGTTATTAAAGACATTTATGTTCAATTTGAGCACAACAGATTGGGAAATCATTATATATGTCATATGATTTCAAATAACACTCATTAAAAGCCAATTATCAGATATGTCGAAGGCTTAAATAAGAGGGAAGAAATATGAGTCCTCGGGGGGTGGCGTTGGGGGTTTTGCTCATATAATATTTTGCATCTATTACAAACCCTATACAGCAATTGAATCTTTATTTGCTAAGAAATGATCAAAAGAAAGTAAATATCCATAAGACCTGACAAATAATATTATTACATCCATGGATACTAGATGCAAGTATTAACATGATACAAGAATTGAGATGAAGTAAGCTGAAAATAGGCATGTGCAACTTGAGACCAGTTCTTGTTTAGAGCATGTTAAATCTTAGAGGTTGAGAAAATAAAACAATCTTGAAACGTATTCCGGCTCGTAAAAATATTGGAGATGGGTTCATTAAGCTAATATGTACCATAAACAATATTAATCAACCAAGCTCAAGACCAAGCTACTTGAGCTTGGTCAGATTTTGGCAGTCAAAACCTTACTCAAGCTTGGTTAAAATAATATGACCCAATCTTGAATGTCATTGGCTCATTCACGACACCGAAGTTAAGTTTCGGAAGCCCAAAGATCAACCGTGAGCTAGCTTATTTACACCCCTGGGGAAAGTCACGAGACAGTTACTTCACAGCAATATTAGCAAATAATCAACATCTGCATATCGCTGTTGTTGGTGCTTAAAATTATCTTGCGAAGACCATGCTTTTTTTTCTATTTTTGTTAAAAAGGATAAATGGAGATGTAATTAAATCAAAGTTTGCTTGTAACTACATGTCCTATGTCTGAGTTTCAAATGAACAATAACATTCAGGAAATAACTCGTCGAGTATCCTTGAAAGAAAATAAAAATGAAAGAAAGGACTCCAACCTACTCTAAAAATTCAAGTGCACTGGTATTCACAACACAGGTCATACCTTAAAGACCTTAGCAAAGTGTGTTACACCCGAAAGTCAAAATTGTCAAGATAACTCGTGCAAGTATAGAATACAGACTATAAATTATGCAATATCTTTTTCATAGTTGAATAGAAATTAGAGATCCACAAACAAATAAAATTGCAGATTTTGAAAGGTGTCCGAGCCTTGCAGCAACACAAC